CACATTCTATAGTGCTTATACATGTATTTTTTCATGAAAATATTTAGTTTGAAATTAATGAGACAGAATTTATATTATTTACATCTTTCCGGAAGAACTCCAATATTATAAATTTGGTTTCTGAATTGTAAAAACTGAAGGATAATTATCTTAAGTTTCTACTTATAAATAGTAGCATAACTCTTTATGCTTTTATATACTTGATCATGTGAATACGTTTGTGCCAATCAGAGAGTTTTGAGAGAAAAATAATATAATAATTTATTTACATTACACCTCTTAAAAAGCGGTTTTCAATAAGACATATTAAAATGGGTATGCGTCTGTTATGATAATTGTTTTTGCTAAAATCTTTGACATCACAAGAAAATGGAAATCCCTTAAAACATTTAATATTGATATCTCGTAAAAATTTTACTCCCACCTACTTGGTTAACATTATTTTGCGAGAAACTTAGAATAAAAAATCACAAAATGAATAAAAAAAATAATAACTTCCGAAATGAAAATATAATTTGTCAAAATTGCTATGCAAATATTTTCGGGCGAGATGTTTCTGATTTTTGCACTGAAATTTTATACCATAACTCCACATGCATGGCCCGTTCGATAATGTTTTAAAGTTGTTCGGCCCACTTTCGACGCCACTCTAGATCCACACATGCTCTTTTTTCCTTACGCAGGGCACAGAGATTCTCTGAATAAGCTTGTTTCACTGACATCTACGTCGAATTAGACCGTTTTCCTATGAAATACTTAGCCTCGGAGTTTTTCCCCTTCACCGCCGTCTTGTACGGCGATGTTCTGATTTTTTCTCTTTAAGCACATAATTTTAAAAATGCATGCAGGAAGATATTTACATTCTTAAGATTATGAATTAATAGAGGCTTTTCAAACGTATATTCATAAGAAAAATAATGGTATCTTTACTTCGGTAACCAGTATAACAAATTCAACTTGTTTTAATAATGAAGGGATCTGTGGATGTTGACCTACAATATGGCGGCAATGGGGAATAACTCCTGCTTAAATCACCTCAATAAAAACATTCTATATGGCTGAAATATTTCCTAACCGTCATTAGACAATAAACAAGCTAATTATCAATCGACTCCCATATTTCTCGACAATCGCAAGTCGTCTGTTTATTTACCATTTAACAGATGTTTTCTTAAAGTATAAGGATAAATTTATAAGTCGGAACATTCTGATTTTTATCAGTTTATTTCATTAGTTATTAAAATGAACTAATTTTAAGTGAAATTTGCCAATGATTAGCGACCTTTTATTCAAATTGGGTGAATTTTCCTAAGCACAGGTATTCCGAGGAGCAAACTGTCCAGCATTCAGGCTCATGCTTTTCTTGATATATGCCCAAAGAGACCGGCTATACATCGTATATATACTTCTGTGTAAACCCCAGGGTTGTCGCAATACTATATGCGATCCAGCATGTGGTGTTCATAATACAAAACTTATTCGAATCGCAAGTTCTTGCTTTTGGTATAATTCATTGTAAAACTGAGACAAGAATTTCAACAACTTCTTTTAATAATTTATATATTTTTTTCTTTTACTGTCTTTATTATACATGTATCAATGCTTTTATATACAACCTAGATATTGTGTTGTCGTATTTTGACGACATATGTAATGCCGTTTTCTATGCCATTGCGTTCATACTTTGACTACCAAGTACTCCATATACCTAATCATTAAACTAAGGCTAAAAAGTTTGCATTTGTTTCGTCTAGAATCCTGTGCTCACTCACTTATTTCACCAATGTCTTAACGGTACAATTTACAGGGCTCGTAAGTTTTCCAATTAGGCAACACATTATAATGGTGACACTTAATAATATTACAGATGTACACTTAAATGAAGTATAAATTGTATAAACCTGTCTACATGATTCAGCAAACAAGTTGATATATCATATAAATATATAATATAAATCTGCCGAATATACCCTGCGAAATCGTTTAATGATTAGAAATGCATGTCGGGGCCTTTATAAGTCCGACCGTCAACCACGCCATTTTTATCAAAAAACGCATTGGTTGCCCATCGTACACCCCATTGCTGGATAATGTGACTGATATTTTAAGGACTGGTTGGCTGTTGTGGACCGATGTTGGGCATCGCTCACACCACGGATTACCACCGATTACCACCGGTCTACGCCCACCGGCCGGGGACTGTGACTAATGGTCATATTTCCTGTCATATTGGCCGTAGACCGGTGGTAATTGGTGGGTTAAAGTATCAGACACATTATCTAGCAATGGGATATACGATTGGCAACCAATGCATTTTTTGATAAAAATGGCATGGTTGCCGGTCGGACCTACAAAGGCCCAGCTCCTAGCAATGCATTGTTAATCATAAAAAGATGTTCCAGGGTAATCGGCCGATGTATATAACGTCGCTCATATATTGGTAAACATCGTTCGTACGTTGGTCGACTATAGGCCAGTGTTTGGTCGAACATTGACCCTTGATCGACCGATGTCTATTGCCCACCACTCAACCCCCGATGACCTCAGATTCAACGGACACTTGAAAATGTTTGGCCATACATCGGTCAACCCTTGAAAGATGCGTTAATGATGAGTTGCCGATGAGGAGCGATGTGGGACATCGGTGGAGACATCGCTGATTTTTAACTACAACTTTTTTTCTACCGATGACCCCCACCGATTCGCCAAATGGCCTCAGTCACCGTCCGATTGCTACAGGTTTCCGGCCGGCAACCACGTCATTTTGATCAAAAAAGGCATCGGTGTCTCATCGTATATCCCATCCCTGAATGATGTGACTGATACTTAAGGCATTACCACCGATTACCATCTGTCTACGACCACTTGCCGGGAAAGGTGACTAAGACATTAGGAAAATATTAGCTATAAATGGCTTTGTTTTAACACAAATGACGGTATTGGATGGAAAATACAAATGTGTCAGTAAATTAAAATATTTTGTACCAGAGTAGTGGTATAACTTTTCCCAAGCATATTTTGGGTTCACAAGAATGCGACGAGTTTATTTATGTGACAAAAAATTAATAATTATTATGAAAATTAACTGCATCAAAACGATTAATGACACACTTCAAAAATTAGAAATGACCTTTAAGTGATCAACTAAACAAACATGGTTTTATTTATAGTTAAGAGAACTATTTATATAAATTGGCCGTAGTTAAGTATATAACTTACAATTTTAAATCAAAAACGACCTCCAAAACTTCGGGAAGGATTAACATTGCTGCACTGTTTAAGACTTTTTTGTGGAGGAGGGGGATTATTTTTTCTAGAAAATATGTCAGTATTTTTTTAAGCCAATCTTCAATTTGTTATTAACACAATGATACCAAAGAGCGGATTTTCTAGACGGATGTAAAATTTGGCGTTTTGCCTGCTCGAAGGTACTATGCTTATAATTTTGGCGTAATTTAATTTCGCGGATACAGGGTTTCAGCTCTTTGAAGTTGAACACCAGGAAGAGTACTAAATATCTAAGCGATTGAAATTTTAGCGGGCTGCAATCAGAACGCCAAAATATGCCAGAATAAACTCCCTGCTTATCTAACCCGCTATACAATATTGTATATTCTAATGAAGTAATTTAGATGTAAAAACATAATATATATTATTTTATCATATTGTTTCTTCCTAGAAAATGAATGCCGCTTGTTGAATTAATGGCCTCTAAGGACGAAATGGACATTTATGAAATAAACAATCACTTTCTGAAAGTTTTACTCTCACTTGTTTCCGTTTTAGGCTTTAAAACATTATTCATTAACAAAACAAAATGCAGAGTTTATGACATTTGCATTTGAATCAGGAATTAATTCTATTCTTAATATGTTAAGTAAACATGTGACATTACTTTTAAATCACCTCTTACATCAACTCGACATATGTCTCTGATGTGCCATATAAAAGATTTCTATGTTATACTCATTAATCAAGTTCCTAATAATTATATTCTTGGTAATTTTCTGGGAAAAAAGCACTTAATGTTATTCAGAATTGTTCACATAATGCATATACTGACAAGTAATGTAAATTGTTGTCATTTATCGTACATATATAGTTATTTCTCTATAAATATAAGATACTCTTACTGTTGTATTAAACAACGAATTTTAAGGTACAATAATATGGCGGTTTTGGAAAAAATTATTTTCGCACTTGTTTGTTTGATTTTAGTAAGTGTTCAAATGTGTTTTTATATATATCATTGTAATGAATTATTTCTCACAATGAAATCATTTAAAAATGTATATATATGCTAATTGTGCCTATATTTCACGGGTGGATTCCAGGGTCTAAGCTTTACCTCAAAAGCAGAGGGAGTTAATCAAAAGACAAGGTAATTTTTCTCCTCTAGGCTCTTCCTGAAATAGACGAATTGTAACATAAGTTGAAATAATTTTTTTAAAATAACCCTTTTTTTCTTGAATTTCTTTTAGACGGTTTTCAAACAGAGAGACAATCCATCGTCGCGATGAAAATTCAAATGAGAAAGGGGTATAATTCTCTCTCTCTCTCTCTCTCTCTCTCTCTCTCTCTCTCTCTCTCTCTCTCTCTGTGTGTGTGTGTGTGTGTGTGTGTGTGTGTGTGTGTGTGTGTGTGTGTGTGTGTGTGTGTCTGTGTGTGTGTGTGTGTGTGTGTGTGTGTGTGTGTGTGTGTGTGTGTGTGTGTGTGAGGTTGAGGGTGAGGGTGTGTGTATGTTTTGGGAATCTCTTTCTCCCTCTCAAATAATAAATTTACCTAAGCTGGATACTCAAGTGAGCTAGACTGATCGAAATGTGTTTGTTAATTTCTGCATTGTCATTATTATTTTTTATTGTTAATTCCTTAAGATTTTAAATACAATTGCTTTGCAAACATTCTGAAAAACATTTTAACTAATTGAGCTTGGAATACAGTAGCACTGGATTAAAATAAATTCTCTAGATATTCAATTATTTTCCCTTAAAAAGTGAATAATGGTGGAAAAAAACGTAAAGGTAGAGTCAATCCAAGATTTCTTTTCAAAATCCATTTTGTAAAAATATGCAACTTAATTGAAAGCTTCTGGACATTGTACATACCATGGGCGCAAGGTTAAGATCTTATTGGATTAACAATTATTTACATTATATTATGAATATTAAAAACATTTGTTTGTCTCTCATACAAACAAATAGTCTATGATTTTTTCAATTATTATTGTTTTATTAATATTTGTTCTTATTGCTGATTTTAGTTTATTTATTTCATGGCTTTTAAGTATGGATACAATAGGGAATCAACGAAAAATTACATAGAAATATTAAGAAAATTTCAGACTTTTATTTCAAATTTAAGAATTATCTCCCTCATGCATAGATAGCTCTGATCCCTCTGCGTATTTGGTGCCAGTCTTTACCTTGTAAGAGTTACATTATGTCCCCTAGGTCAAGTTAGTAGCTTAGGAGCTCAGCATTTCGGTACAAGCTTGAAAATGTTGTTTTATAAATTCAAATTCAAATTTAAGGGCTATTTCCCTACTTCATCCCATCTTCTTTTTGTAGTCAAGCTCAAGCAAATCCGAAGAGGCTGATGAATCTGACGAATCTGACGAATCTGATAAAAATAATTTAAAAGCAGTCCAAGCACCGGCAGACAGTACGAGTGAAAAGAATACGGCTGTTAAAGATACAGTTTCAACTTCAATACAAAATGAAGAGAATTCGCCAATGATTGCCGACAGTACAGATGTGACACCAATTCCCGAGCAAATAGAACCTGCGCAATTGCAAGATGATGATTTATGCTGGGATTTTGAGAAGGTTGGCTGCAAAGAGCTGGCCGATACATATGGGGTAAGGCTTTGCATTTCATCCATTTAAAATGTACCTATTTACGAAGAGTACAGGGGTTGTTAAGTACAAGCTGCATTTCTTGACAATCCAGGTAATTTTCAACGCTTGCGCAATAACCGAACGATATTAACTATATAAAATCTTGATCATGTTACACTATAGTGCAGACTGCTAAAAGCCTGTTTGAGAAAAGATTTCCAAAGCAAAAAAAACTGATATTAAGTGTTATTTAAGTGTAAACCTCCCCTTTTTTCAATATTACATTTACTATTGATTATGACATATATATAGCATAAGGTGCCGTCATAACAGGGGTGAACTTAAATGAATGCAAGAGGTAATGAAACATTGGAAATGGAGAAAATATTGTCGCTTTTATAAAACAGTCAGCATAGTAATAACAATTATGTTGTACTTTGCATGCACCATGGTTATAAATTGTAGTCAAGGTTTTGCATATAGTGCACTCGCCTCATAGTGCACTCGCACCATGTGTTAAGCCCTGACTTCTATTTAGGCATAGTGCATGCAAAATACAACTTATATTTAAGAAATATGATATCAGTTTTTGAGTTTTGTTGGGATGTAAAACAGGTTGGTCACGTGATCAAATCCAAAAAGACCCAACGGGCTTTATGGAAGAGTTTGATCATGTGCCAACCTGTTTTACATCCCAATAAAGCTTAAAAATGTTACCTTATTTCTTTTATTTGCATTTCTGACTGATTTATTACGAATACAGAACCGGCCAGACTCAACCTGACACCCAAGCAGTCCCAGAAAGCAGTCCTCGGGACTGCTTTGGGACTGCTCTTGGCCGCTATGGGACTGCTCTGGAACTGCTATAGCAAGCAGATCGAGCAGTCCAAGCTGTCCCTAGGACTGCTTTCTGGGACTGCTTTGTTCACTCATGTGTGAGAATGGTTCTGAGTGACATGATAGCTCCGCCCCTTTGTGTATTTTGTGCTTTAGCAGTCCAAGAAAGCACTTCCGGGGACTGCCCTAAGACTGCTTTGTTTCAGGTTGGGTCTGGTCTGTACTGTAAGGTACTTAAGTTTTAAATCTATCGGGATTTATTTTTTTCAAAACACAACGGCCATAAATTGAACGTGTTGAACACGTCGATCACTTATGACATAACTGTGAAATTGCGTAGATCGCTTATAACTAAACAATCAATTTATGGTCACATGACGAACGTGTTTTACACAGGTGTAAAAACGCCTTGTTCAAAAAGTGTTATATAAGAACAAACATTTGCAAATATAAATACTATGATATAAATAGTACTTTAGAATTTTTTTTTTTAGCCTTTCTGGGGGATCTCTTGTGACGGTGATGAAGATTGTTCTCGTAAGTGTCTTTTTTAAAATTCTTTTTAATTTTAATGTTCATTTTAATCGAAGACCACAAAACATTTAAGGGATTTTATTATGATATTTCTTGTAGCTGTTTTGTTATGTCGGATAAATATAATAATTGATATAGAATACATATCTAGGACGATGAAACTTTATTTTTTTTTATGTGTCACTATTTTAGCTACTATACTGCCCTCCACCAGAGTTCACCTGATAAATAGGACGCATTTCCCAGCGCTCCGTTTTTTTCTTTCTTTACAACTGATTAGAAACTTCAAATCAAAAATGAAATACTGTATATATTAAGTGTTTAGTAGTTTGGACAGGAATAATTCCAAGTACCAACATTTTCAATAACCACACCATTATAGAAAAAATTGGCTATGTTAACAAGGAGTTTCCAAACATCACATTATTCAGCAAAAACATCACGTGACTTGTAAATTAGATTCAGAAATTTAGAATTTAACAACCAGTGTAACTAACCACTTTTACACTATATTAAAAAAATATTTTGAAAAAACAGTTTCGAAACAGCGTTTCTTTTTCCTTTGCTTATTTGAAACCTCTAATGTGTCATTTTATCCCCCTTTGTGAATGTAATCCGCTTATGTAAACAAAATCACGCATGTATGTACATTGTGAATGAATACACAACCAGTGCAACTAGCCACTTTTACACTTTTACATTTTATTAAGAAATATTTTTTAAAAACTGTTTCGAAACAGCGCTTTTTTTTTTTTTTTTTTTTTTGCTTTGCTAAATTGAAACCTCTCATGTGTAGTTTTTTATCTTCCTTAGCTAATGTAAACCGCATATGTAGACAAAATCATGCATATATGTAAGTACATTGTGAATGTATTCAATTTTTTTTTTTTTGGTTCTAGATCCAAAAGTCCAAGAGAGGGGAAAATGCTGTGAGGTTCCCTGTGATAATTTGAATACAATATGCCGGTACGCAGTAGATGATCTTGTAGGCCCTTTGGATCCAGAGTATCCCTAA